CACCAGGGGGCAGCAGAGACACAACACTCCAGGCCTGGCCTCCTTTGGGTCCTGGTTGGTGCCACCTCAACCACTAGCAAGGTGCTGGCCTGTATGGAATGTGGGTCTGAGCCTGTGTCCCCAAGAGATCTCAGCCCCTCAGGGACCAATTCACTTCACCACAACAACCCTAAGTGGCTACGAATCTTTCTCCTTTCCTTTCTGACTGAGGCTGAAACATTGGAAAAGAACACAGTACCAGTACCTCATTAGTTTTTCTTTTTCTTTCTCTTCCTTCTTCTTCATTTCTTTGCTCATTTACATGTGTATTAGCACTGCATTTTGTCAGAAATCTTCCGTTCTTGTTCTACTCCGCAGTTACCTGAGGTGACTACAGACTTTTACTGCCCTTCACACCTATGCGCTTCAGTGCTCAGCATCCCCTCTGCAGCTTGGGGAACCAGGGAATCATGGGAAATGAAGCAGAAGCTGCTCTTGGGGGCTGTCTGTGCCTTCCAGCCTCTTGTACAGCAAACCTTGACTGAGGCCCATTTACCCCCCCCCCAAAATGGTGCTGAGAAGCAATCAATTCTGCCAATGACAAAATGATTTTCTTGCATTTATTCCAAAGAGTTTCATTGACCTGAAATATTCACACAAATTGTGTAAGCTGTCTTATGCCCAAACTTGAAAAATTATTTACAGTGGACAAGAGACTGCCACCCATCCTGTTATCATGATGTGATTTTACGGAAAAATGCACAGGCAGATCCAAACTCTGGCGGCATCCAGATGAGACGAGTGGAGACTGATCGTGTAGGGACAAACCACCTCAAACTTGTCAACCACCAGCAACAGCAAGCTGGGACCACAGCTCTGGACGTGTGACATTAAGGTGACAGAATCCTGTGAAGCATTTTTTCATTGGCTGACTCAGGGTCTCATGTAAATCTGGAATCCCCAGTAGGCAGTGTGATCAACGCAAAAGGGACAACATGTATGTGCAGCATGTATTTGGAGGTTTTCTCTTGCAGCTACCAATGTGTAGGCTTATTCACACCTCCACCGTAGCAGCCCCTCCCATGGGCACTGTTTCCGACCTTGCACAGGGTCAGTTTGTTTACACAACACACAGAGTGCTGTTCTCAGCTTCATGTTTCCAGACTTGAGCATTCTCATCATGTCTTCAAGAGAAGCTGAACAACTTAGCTTGAGCACAGCTCCAAGTTTGATGCCGTGATTCTGTGTGATATTCATGTGTGCTTAAGTGGGCAGTGAGTGCAACTACTGCAGGTTGAGCTCCTGGGGGACAGGCTTCACTCAGCCATGTCAAGCAGGGCTGCCGTCCCCTGACTCACCACCTGCAACCTGGATGTCCTCACCTGGTATAGCCCTGTGGTGGGAAGGACTTGTTTGTGGTGGCTACCCTAGTGCCCTGGGTGGCCCTGAGAAAGCTGTGCTGTAACTTAACCTTGTCCCACCAAACCCACACCTGGGGCAGTGGCACCATGACAGTGTCCCCCTCTAGGAGCCAGGCATGGCATCCTCCTGAGATTTCTGCTGCTTTCACCCTCCACACTGGTCCTGGCCCCTGAGGAGGCCTCTAGCATTCCGCATCATACCAGGCCCTTCACAGTAGGGTTGCTGAGGACCGCAGACCTGCACAGAGCCCATGCGCGAGACTCCAGAGTGAAGCAAGCTTCAAGTACTGTTTCTTTCCCCGAGAAGAGGAGAAGTTGTCTTGCCCACATGATCATTGTGTACTCAGCCTAAGGACTCACTTTCCACAATGAAGGATTTAAATGCCCAGAAACCCAGCAGCAGTGAGGCTCCGACCTGGGTGGAAGCTCAATTGTACATGATTCGCTCTTCCCCACAGAACTAGCCTATGGAAAGACAACCAGCATGGAATCCTTTATAAAATGTTTATATCATTGTAATAAATCCTTATACTGTGGTTCCTTTGTCAGAACCTTTTCCAACCTGCTAGTTGTGTTCCTTTATGGGTTCTTAACTGAGGAAGAAAAGCACTCATTGCCCAGTGGACATTGTGGAAACCTGGGCCAGGAACCGTGGCTGCGTCTCCCACAGCAGGGCCCAGGGCCTCTTCAGCCCAGCCTCAGACTCTGTGTTGTCTCTGCCCACTCACTCCCCCCTGGAGGTGGGAGGCACCTCTCCTTCCTTCATATCTTCAGTGTCAGGTGGTATTATTTGAGTTAAGGGGAAAATCTTTTCTCTACCTTTCTATGAATAACCAACCCACACTCCTGTCTTCTGAAGCTTGTAATGACAATCCCATGGCTTTCTCTGCTATTGGAGAAGTATTTTTATGTGGCTGATATATGCTCTCTTCTTTATAAATGCCTGATATAGAACAGGAAGAAAGAAAAGCTTGCCACGTGTACCTCGCCAAGTTCATGTTCGTCCCATCCCCCACCCCGCCTCAAAGATACCGTTGGAAAATAGAGCACTTTGGGAGCAAAAGTGGAACAACAGCTCACATTTCTGCCCCCTGTAGCTCCACTTCATTACGTGTTGGCCACGTCTGCCAGGCTCTGCTTGCTCTGCCTCCATCATTCCATCTGACTCTCGTTCCACTCAGATCTGTATGTGTATGTACTGAACGAGGGAGAGACTTCATTATGAACACTGAGTTCCTCCACGCAGACATCCTTCTCCCATCGTGCATTTTTCAGATCAGATTCCTAGGCCTCTTTTCCTGTAGGCCCAGGGAGGCCGAACTCAGCATCCCCACAGCTTTCCCTGTTTCCCCAGGGTCACATTGACACAGCACACACTCTGAGTGAAATCTTGGGATATCCTGGGTCCTTCGTACTTGAAGCAGTGCTGTAAACAGCAGTCTTGGAAAGAAAGCTTGAAAGGCTGAGCAGCGCTCTGTGTGCAATAAATCTCTATTGTAAGCCCTGGGAGGTCCAGGCCTGCACCTCTAGAGCTCTGATGGGAGCTGCCAGCCTGGGCTCCACTCTGCCCCTATGGCTCAGCCCCCTATTCAGCACCAGTCTCAAAACCTGTCAGTTGAATGGAGACGTGGGACATCTCAGCAATGTGAGCCTGTGTGGATCAGCATTGGGAGAATGAGCATCTTCTGCTCTTATTGGCCGCATGTAGAGAAAAAGTTGTGTAACCTGGGTCCCTCCTGTGAGGGCTGGACCTGTGTTTAGTCCCATATCCTCCTTGGACTGCCCATGTGAGCCTTGCCTGGACACTATGGCTCTTAGGGCTCCCCAGAATGTCTCCCTGCACTATGGCAATCATCCGGGCATCTTTGTCCCTCTCCTCCTCTTGATGCTGAGCTCGTGGATGGAAAGAGACCTAATGACCCTTTCTGTGCAGGTCTCAGGCCTAGTTCCACGTAGGAACGAGTTGAGAATTTGAGGCCTCGGGAGTTCTTAAATCAGAGCATGTTTCCTCATAACTGTGCCATGTTTACCCCTATGACAACATAGTTCATGGATTGTGTGTATTTGGGTTTGTGTTTGTGGCCTTGTGATGCTGTTTCAATGAGTCACACACATGATGTTTAGGCTAAGTTCCCAGGATCTTGGAGGTTTCTTTCCTAAAGCCTTTGGGCACTTGCTGAGCCCTATGCTAGCAAGGCTTTCACCTCTTCCCTTCTCTACTTCCTCTGTGTCCTGTGCCTTGTGCCTGGCCTTGCCACTCACTGGGCCTTGCTTCCCAGATGCCAATTTAGAAATGAATAATACACACCCCACTTTATTGTAAGCTGTGTCACTCTAGGGAGTGTGGCACGAGAGGGTAACAGTGTTCTCCCTACCTCTGCATGGCCAGCATCCATACCGCCTCTGTTTTAGGTTCTTGGGGAACCAGGCCTCCTAGAGCCATCATCATCCAGTTACCTCACACGAGCAATATCACCTACAGCTCTCTTGATAGTGCTGCCTGGACTCAGAGCCCCACCTCCATGGTCACCCATGTCTTGCCCCAAGCCTGTGCCACTTCATAGGCCCTCTTGGTTCTAGGACCTTAGGAAAATTCTCACCATGCCCCAAATTGTGGAGCTGCACCTAGGCCCACATCATGGCCCCCAGGCCCTCAGCAATATGCCAGCTCTTCTTCTTTTGTGTGATAACAGGTGAGCTCTGCCTTGGTGATGAGCCCAACTTCTTCTGCTGGACAAGTCCCCCTGTGCCAGCACAGTGCAGCCAGACCTCGGGGGAACAGCTTCAGCCTTGTTTGTATACTGCAGGGCAGCCAGCATCCAATGGGCCTCTGTGAAGGCTGCAGGGAGCTTACACCATGACACAGCACGTCTGTGAAGCCGCCCCCTGTGGGAAGTAACACAGAGCTGTTTGGTCACCACCACCCTCCCGGCCTGGGCAGGAACGTGAAGGGCTGAGTTTCTGGGCTGGTGTATTAGGGTGGTTATTTTTCTCTCAAGCATTCTCTGTTGAATATAATAAAATCCATACAATAAAACTGAACTGTTCTCAGTAGAAATTACTAAAGCATGAAGATCGCTGTGACACTCCCATGGTACTGATGCCTGAAAACAAAGCCTACATCAGTCTCCTTAACATGAAAGACACAAAATGGCCAGTTTATGACTGAACTATAGAATTTGATAAGACGTGCATATGCCTATAAGCTCATCAACATGATTAAAACCGAAAAGAAGTCTCCCAATTTCCAAAGGCTGCTCATTCCCTTAGCTATGTCCGCCCAAGGGTCCATGAAAATATGAATTTGGAATTGCTGCATCTGCTAGGATTCCTCCCTCTTAAAAAGAGAAAGATGGAACAGTCTCTTCCCCCAACTGCTGCTCAGAGGGAAAAGTCAGTGCAAGGCTGTGAATACTGTAGAAGAGGTAAACTTCAGAGACATGAAGTGAGTGGTGGTCAGGCTCTAGCAGGAGGGGAAAGAAAAGAACTTTGGGGGCAGAGTGTAGGCAGATGTCCCGAAATGGATAAGGGGGAAGATGGCACAGTACTGAGGACACACGTAATGCCACCAAGGTCATCGGTTTAAACAAGACTAAAATCTTACATTTTATTTATATTAATCCTATAACTCTCATATCTCTGGGCAATGAGAACAGCGGTAAGTAAAATAATGATCAACTCTTGAACAGAAGGACATGGCAGGCGAGGGTCCAGAGCTGCCTGCAGGTAGCGCTCTGAGGGGTGCCTCCTGCTGTGGAGCCCCCAGGATTCCAGCTCTGCAGCTGGTGGAGGAGGGGATCTAGATGCGGGGTCTTGCTGTGAGGTCAGAGCTGGTGAGGGAGTTGGAGGGGGAGCTGGCACCAGCTCAGTAGCTTCGACATCAGCGTGGACTGGAGCTGGCCCTGCAGCTGCAAGAGGAGAAAGGACCAGCAGTGTCCATGTGCTTCCTGGGGAATCCTTCCCTCTGCCTGTGCAGAAAGCCCAGGGCCCTAGCAGGCCTCCCAGGCTGCAACACACGCTGACTGCTGCATGTCTCACGGTCCTGGATCACCCACCATCTGGAAGCTTTGCTGTGCCCCAAGGCCCATCCTCTCCCACAGATCCACAGGCCCCCTCCCCCACTCTGCCTTACCCCAGGGCTCTTCCTCAGGGGGCTCAGGAGGCTCCAGCTGGTCCAGGGGAAGCTCAGCCTGGGGATCCCCCTGAGAGTGCAACTCCAGTGCTGAGTCAAGGATGGAAGAGGTGGAGCTAGGGAAGCAGGGAGGCAGCAGGTGAGAGGCCTGGTCTTTCCTCACACACTGCCTGCCCAGGACACCTGCGGGGCCATACTGCTCACCCTGCCCAGTCAGTGCACTGTCAGCCCCACCCTCTCTCATCCCAATGGGGGTAGTGCCATGTCAGGAGCACCAAGAGGCTCACATAAGGCTCCCTGGCAGGCAAGTCTTGTTTCCTGGTGTGACACCTCTGCCTTCCTCAGGGAGGCCTCACCCAGTGTCTCCTGCCCAAGCCCACTGATAGGTCAGCTCGGTGGAGACAGACCAGTGTCTGGTGTGTCCTTGCACTCCATTTCACAGGGCTGAGGCCCCACAAGTGTCTGAGAAGTGAGGGGTCAGTAGGAGTTGGCCTGCCTCTGCAGCCTCTAGCTCAGGCATCTGCCTGAAGAGGGTGCATGCTGCACTGTCTGTATGCACATCTAGGAATGTCTGGAGCAGGGAACAGCCACCTTGATGGGAGCAGGATCTGCACTGCCTCCCAGGGTGTCCTATTGGGCCATAGAGAAAACCAAAAATCAAAGCAGCGCAGGATGCACCGACTGTGCTTATTGGATCGTGGGCAATGCCTAGAAAGGAGTGAGCACATAGTGTTAGGTCAGGAATGTCTATGGCGTGCGTGATGGTACCCACCTGCTCTCCCATGGGGTCTGAGGGCCATGGGCCTTTGCTACTCCCAGGAATTCCTGCTCTGGGCACCCCTGAAGCCCATCAACCTCTCACCAATCTCCATTCCGATATCCAGAGCAGCTTCCCCAAGTGTGGGTGGGTGAGGCGGAGGGGACATCAGCTGTGGGCATCAGCACAGCTCTGCAGCAGACCTTCCACGGGGCCAAGGCCAAGCTGATCCCTTGTCAGAGAACCCCCATCTCAGCCTCAGTGACCCTGGGATCCAGATCCCTCAGCTCTGACTGTTGACCATTGTAATGGAGGCCAAGAGAAGATCTTGGGCACTACAGGACTGGAATCCTAGAGGGCTGAGTCCCCCCGGGGCTTCTGAGAGCAGAACTCACCTTCCCACCATCAGCCCCTGTGGGGTGGAGACGTCGGCCCTAGAGGGGTCCAGGAAGGCGGGCTCTGTGCTCCCTGTGCAAATCTCAGCCAGACTCTCTGCCAGCTGACTTCCAATCTGTGATGAGACAGGGGGAGATACGGATGTGGAGGTCCAACCTGAGGCTTCTCAGGAAGCTTTAGGCCGGAGCAAGCCCATATTCCAGATGGACCACTGAGGCTCATTTACAGGGCACAGGAGTGTCTTAGCATAAAAGAGATTCCCATATTAAAATTTAGATTTGTAAGGAACACTCAGGAGTACTAGCAAGCTCAGGCCTGCGTCTTAGCTGAGGAGAGGGTGGATAGAATTCCACACACGCAGAGCACTAACCCGTGAGTGCTCAGCAAACCTGCTGAAGTGAAATCTGACTTGTCCTGGTATACACAGAATATTTCCGGGTTTCTGATGAAATGAACCCAGAGCGGGATCAGGTCTGGCTTTCTTAGCCCTGTGAGGCCGGATGGCTGGGTTTCCTGTCTCCTTTCTGGGATGTCATCCCAGCCCCAGAGTCACAGCCATCTGACCAGCACTTGGAGGACTCTTGGGGCCTGGAGTTATAATGAGGTGAAATGGAAGCCTTACATCATACAGGAAATGAGGTAATGGTGTCCGCGTCTCTTTTCTGACACACCCACTGATGTGTGGGTAGCAACCTTGCTCCTGCCCAAGGAAAAAGCTAGGGAGAGAGTGTGTGGTAGGTGAGGACCTGGAGTTCAGATTCCTTGGGAGCCATACCACAGGCTCACTGCTTACCATGCTCTGGGGGGAGGTAGTGAAGGTGTAATCTGGCCCCAAAGGTCCTCTCTGTCCTCAATGGGCCTTCGTGCAGAGTCTCCTCTGCTCCTACCAACACCTGTGCTGGAGCTGTCACCTGGTGTTCTGGTGGGTCCCAGTGTCTGGGACATGGCATCCAGGCCTCCAGTGACCTGGGACAGTGCCCAGCAGCTGGCAGGAAGCCTGAGACTCTTCCTGACTGCCATTAGTGGCTGCTTTGTCCCCAGTAACCATGTGCTTCCCATAAGCTAACAGCTGTGTCACAGACTTCTAACCTAGGAGGACAGGATTTGACTCTGGCAGCTGTGGGTTCACCCTTGGCACTGCCCTTCTCCTCCTGCCAGCCCTGTTCTGCATAGGAATATAACAGGAGCCCAGGCTCACAGCCTGTAGCACCTGCTTCTTCCCTGAGGAATTTCCCCTAGGACCTTGCCCTCCTGCCTCCCCCACCACTACACTCACACTGAGGACATGGTGGGAGCTGTTTAGGGGACTCACAGTGGTGGCTAGGCCTAAATGGACCTTTCCTGGACTCAGTGGCTCCGAGTGGCTGCTGGCTGAGCTTAGGGGTGCCTGTTCTGGGAGACCTCCTGTGTCTGGGCAGCTGAGAGCTGAGGCTGGGGAGCCCTGCCCTGTGCCACCCATGACAGTTGGGAGGTTTCCGGCGCGGGTCCTGAAGTATCTGGGCCAAGTGAACCATCCTCTCACTCGTTCCCAAGTGCTCTTCTTGCGCGGGGTCCTGAGGCTCGGGCCTCGAGGCCTCGGAAAACAACACAGCATGTTCGCTGGTCACTGTCTCTAGCCAAGTGCCTGCGATGGCAGTTGTGGCCAGACTGGGGTGCCGGGTGACCACGGAGTTCTAAGTTCTGTTTGGATCTGTCACCAAGGAAGTGAGGTCATGTACTGGGGTCCATGGCTGAGCTTCCTCTTCTGATAAGACTACAATCCCCCCTCTTCTTTTCATAGTGAAACAAATCTGTATGTTCCTTAGAAATAGCCACAGAAAAACTGGAAGAGCTGAGTGTGACTTTACTCTCTGGTGAACTTTCGTATCTTAATGTAACAAACAGGCATAGTGAGAAGTATATTTTTCCACTCTCAAGGTCCATTCTCTCTGGAGATGTCCTCTCTTAGAGATCTGTTAAATTTTAGGATGATTTTCTATTTTGGGGTCATTTCAATTTTATTTCAATTCCATTAGGGAGTATAGAGATGTTCACAAAAGTACCCATCATAATTTTCCTTAGGATATAAAAGTTTCATATGATAATGTCTGTGTATCCAGAAAAGGAGGATTCATAGCAGGTTTTAACTTTCAGGTGCTCAGGAGTGATTCATTGCTCATACCTAGATACCGAACTCAGCCACACACTGTAGCACTCATTACTGTGACATCCTGTGAGCAGGGATAGCAGGGGTCAGTGCAAGGAGCAGCCTGTGCAGGGCCATGGAGATCACAACCCTGTGCGGATGAAGGACACACGCGCACACCCTGGGAAGCTTTCTCATGGTGCTCCTGTCAATTCTGGTCCTCCCTTTCCATGCAGCCCATGTGCTTTGTGTCCCTGCTGAGCAGTCTGCCTTTCCTAGAGGTCATGGAGCTGACACCATCCAGTAGCCATGTTCTTTGGCTAGTCTTCTTCAAGAATCATGTGCCTGTGCATGTTCCACCAGTGCTGCTTCTTGTCAGTGGCGCAGCCAGCGTGTGGGTTGTGTGGAGGAAGCTCGACCTGCTCATGCAGCCGTCCCCGCTGCTCATGCTTGACCTGCTCATGCAATGTCCCACTGGTGGCCGTTCGTTCTGTTCTGGTATTGGCCCTCAGTAAAGCAGCCAGGAACATTCTCCTTCCTGTGTTTATATGGATTTAGACTTTGATTTCTTCAAGAAATACTTAGATATGAAATAGTTGTGTCTTACTTCTGGTGTAGGTTCCTCCCCAACCCCTCTGGCACTGATTTCCACCCGGCAATCTTTCATTCACCACAGATGCTGCATTTCACTGGAGCAAGGAGGGAAGCAACAATACACATGCACGGCAGCTGCCCCCAAGCTGCGCGGCAAAGTCCCCACTTCCTTCTCCTCCTGTCTCAGCAGCTTGAATGTCAGTATTTCTTTACAAGTACAGAGGCGAGGAATAACAGTTCTGCAGTTTGGTGAGTTTCTTCTCCCATAAAACTGAGTCTGTATTCTGGAAAGGACCAGATGAAGAGAGGTTTACACACTCAGGGCTTCTGTGCCTGAGTCTCCAAAAAGAAGAGGATGAAATGGACCGTTCAGAAACTGGACTGTCGTTCACCTGTCACCACTTCAGGTCCCTCTTTTCTGCCAGTCACTGTGCGCATCACTGGAGCAGCGATGTGTGTCACACAGTGGCCGTGTCTGCAAGCCAGAGGCCCGTGTCCCAAGCCATCTTACTGAGGACAAGTTTAGGAGCATTTGTGGGACCCTCAAGCATGCGATCAGTGATTAGACAAGTTCTCAGTGGTCTGCTCGTGCCTGGCCATTCTCCACAGTTCTTCAGGGAACACAGGTTCAGGCCTCAGCATGGCTGACATAAGAGTTGTGGGCTTTCTGGCATCAAAATATCACCATGGGACATTTGTGCAGACTCAAATATCCCAGGGGTCTACTTTAGATGGTTTGAGCTAGACAGAAGCCACCTCTCACTTTCTGAGAAACAACTAAGGCAGCTATTCCTGTTATGACCCACACAGCAGCGGTATTAGCGATGGCAGAGCAAGTGGGCAGCTCACGCCACAGCGCTCAGCCATGTGACCTGCAAACAGGATGAAAGCAATGGAGGAAAGCATTGAGGTTGGACATCTGACTTCTATAAACAGAAAACATATATCATATTCATATGCTCATGGAGTCATTAAAATCAATATTTATCCACAAAGAATACTTTAATCATACAAGGAAGTAGGGAAAAGGCAATATTTTTATCATCCTATAATATTGGTAATAAAAACTAGTAGAGTGATTAATAAAATACTGTACTATTTGGAATTCAAGGAACATGCTCTTAGAAAACACTTGGAGTATAGACAGTATTAACAAGAAATTAAAAACTATTAAGAAAGCAATGAGAATAAAAACCCTTTATTCTCAAATTTCTGGGACATATCAAAACTATATTCAGTGAAAAAAACTAAACTTAAGTGTCTTCTATATTAAAACAGAAAGACAAAAATAAAAGGACTTGTGCTGGGGAGATAGCTCGGCAATCTAAGCACCTGCCTGGCAAGCACAAAGACCTGGGTTCAATCCCCAGTACCACATGTGATGCCGGGCCCAGAACCCTGGGTATACTGTACCAGCCCTGAAATTAGGCATGGTGGTGCACACCTGTAATCCCAGTGCTGGGGAGGCTGAGACAGGAGGATCACTATGATTCCAAGCTGCATAGCAAGAACCTGTACCAAATAAATAAATAAATAAATAATAATAATAATAAAAGGACTTACATAGCTTAAGTAGCAAAGAAACCTGGCAGAAGGAATTGATAGAGATCAAAACAAATTAATCCACTAGAAAATCAATATACACTTATATTCATGTGCATTGGAGAAATATGAACATCCTATCAAAGACTGCGTTTCACAAGCAAAAGCTTGAGCTTTTTCTCAGGTAACAAGAAAGGAACAGTAGACACGTACACAAAAAGAAATGAGAGGGGCCGGGGAGATGGCTCAGTAGAATAAGGGCTTGCCTGGCAAGTGCGAGGGCCTGAGTTCAATCTCCGGTTCTGCCAAAAAAGAAAAAAGAAATGAGAAGAGACACGAGTACAGGTCTAGGAGAATTTAAGGAACTCTGAAGAAAGCATACTCAATTCCCTAGCAAGAAGTTTGAAGATCTAGAAGCAATGAATTCTGCAGCACCTCCGAAAGGGGACCTTAGGTCGAGTGCGCAGGATGAAACTCGTGTCTGTCGCCTCCTGGCTATATGAGCATCTGCCAGTCACTCAGTCTGTCTGTGCTCCAGTTCCCAACCGGCAAATGGATGTGGGAGCTTGTGAGAATTACATTAGGACATTCCTGGCACAGAGTGAAGACTCGGCCTCAGTGGTGTTATTCCAGGTTTGGGCGCTACAGGCTGTTTGTAAGAAAAGTAAACCTGGGCTGCCGTCTTACCTTACATATCACATGTCAATGGACTCAAAGTAAATTTTACACATGTTGCTGATTTATTTTATTTAAAATTAGGGGTTTGAGGTATATTTATTTAAAAATGTCTCAAGTCTGCCCTTCTTTATGTCAGAGTAGTATCCCAATGTATATAAAAATCTTTACTCGTTCACCTGTTGGTGGATATAGGGGTGGCTTCCAAGACTTAGCTGTTGTAAATTCTGCTGCTATAAACATGAGTATGCATTTTAAAAAGTAAATTTTAAAAACTCTTCAAGAAGAATCCGAGAATTGGAAGAACTATTTAAAAGCAAGAAAGACCATTTCAAATTCAATTGAAGAGATTCTATTTGGCTATATAAAACCTATATCACAAATAAAGTCCCTGGGCACCCGCTACAGTGAGGGCCACACGAGTGGTGGGGAAGCAGGTGATGACCAGAGCTATTCAGCAAGGACAAAGGACACAAGAAACCCTGCAGCTGCCGCAAGCTCCCAGGCCAGCCTTAGTGGAAAGGCACCTGGAAACATCCAGAAAGGTAAAAATGCAAAATCCCCAGGAAATTCTTACACAGAAAAAAACAAAACAGTAAGTTGAAGACTTTCTGGCTGGCAAGATAGCTCAGCGGACAAAGCACCTGCTTTGTCAAACACGGAGACCAGGGTTCAATCCTCGGTCCCATAGGCCACACGGCCCTGCTCTTGGGTTGCACTGAGCTGGTGACAGAGTTCAGGCATCGTGGCGCATGCCTGTAAATCCTCCCTGGCGCATGCCTGGGGAGGCTGAAAACAGGAGGATCACCACAAGTCCGAGCTGTGTAGTGAGACCCTGTAGACCCTGTAGACGCTGTACTCAATACGTTTAAAAAACAAAAAACAAAAAAAACTCTAAGCCATTGTTATTGGCTGTCTTCACCTACTGCTATGACAAATACTTAGAATGAAGCACGGGCTATTTGGGGCTCACATTTCAGAGGTTTCCATCCATGGTCAGGTGTTTTGCTGCTTTTGCAGCCTGTGGTGAGGCAGGCTGTGGTTGCTCAGCCTTGAGCAACTTCCCTGCTATATATACTTATATAGGTCAGGGTCGCCAGGAAGCAAAAGCACCAAGAGGAAGGCCTGGGGTGGCCAAGGCCCCTTCAAGGACACGCCCCTAGAGACCTAGCTTCCTCCCGCTGGGCCGCCTCTTAAAGCGGCCCAGGTCACACCCCCAGCTGGAGACCAAGGCTTTGACCTCCAGGCCCCTGCAGCAAGCTCCCAACCACAGCACTGGCACTGCCCATAGACCACAGTGAGCAAAGAGCTCCTTTTTAACGGAGTGACAGTTTCCAATGTGTCATGTGGGCTTTTGTTTTCTGTGTGTTTTGTAACAATTGAAGAAAACATAGAAAAACCCGAAGACAATATTACAAGATGCTGAGCCAAAGCAAGACTGAGCTAAAACATGTTGACCATGCAAGTTTGTAAAATTATGTTTGTGTGATTCTTGCAAAGAAATAAAATTTAAAGTTTCCATTTGGGGAGTAAATGCTGTATTTCACAGGTGATAACAGCGCATCGGCTATGTTGGGTATGATCTCTCCCAAACGCAGGGCGAGTATTGCCAAATGAAGCATGCCCTGGCATGCCCACCTGGCAAGTAGGAGACTGGGCTGCAGCTGGGTCGGTGCCTGGCAGTGACTTAGGCAGGTCCTGCCCACGTTGGGAAAGCCAGGCATTCCTTCTGCTAGGTAGCTGGTGTCCAATTCACTGTCACTTGCTCTTTGTTACACCCTGCCCAGGGGGTGCCTTCACCTCAAAGGCCCTGGTATTGCCCCTTGCAGCCTTCCGATATGCTAAATGCCCCATGGGCTGTACTTTGTCCTTACTCAGCCCTGGCTCCCTGACAGAGGAGAAGTCCAAAGGATGAAGTGAGGACCAGGAACCTCTGCAGCACCCTTAGGGGGGCAACCCCTTCTTGTCTCTCACTTCCTGGGGCTGTAATCCACTGCTTCTCCCACCCAAAGCACCACAGCTGGTGGCAGATAAGACATAGACTCCCGAGGCGCAGCCAGGTGGACAGTGCCTGGCAAGGGCGAAGTTGCCATCGGCTTCCCGCAGAGGGTCCCTGATCAGCACACTCCACCCGCCACAAGCTCAGGTTCAGCAACCACAAGTTCAACCTGCCTCAGACAGAAAATAATCAGAAAGAAATTGCATCTGTACTGATTTTTTTTCTTACTGCTATTCCCTAAACAATGTAGTGAGGAAACTACTGATGCAGGGGCTGGGGAGGTGGCTCAGCAGAATAAGTGCTTCCCTGGCAAGCCCAAGGGCCTGAATTTAATCCCCAGTTCCGCCAAAAAAAAAAGAAACTACTGAAGCAGCATTTGCCTTGTTTAAGGCATTATAAGTAATCTAAAGATGCCTTAAAGAATATGGGAAGGTGTTGGTAGAAGATATGCAAATGCCACACCCAAATCCTTCTCCCTGCTTTCAAAGCTTTTTTTTTCCCCCCTCAGAACCAGGGATTGAACTCAGACCCTTGCACTTGCCAGGGAAGTGCTTATTCCACTGAGCCATCTCCCCGGCCCCCAAGTGTATTTCAAGGTCTTGGGAAAGAATGTTGAAAGGACATTTGAGGGGATAGGATGGAGCTGCCACACTCCATCAGTCTCCACTGACAGCAGCCCCGAACTCGGGGTGGGGGTGGGGCATGCTAGCACCCTGCTCCGCCAAGGCTCTGTGAGGGGCCCTCTCAGCACTGGCTTTTCTTTCTGCTCTTGTGTTTTTTCTCCAAATAAGTGATAACTAAGTTTCTAGTGTCCCAAGGGCCTCCTGCCAAGCCTGTCCCTGTCAGCATTTTGTGTTGGCTGGAAGTTGGGGGGTTCCCAAATGTCTTCATCACAGGCTCACAGACAGCCTCTGTCTGGTCACAGGAAGCACGTGTGCATTTCTGGCAGCTTTGAATTCTGGAGGGTGCCTGAGGAGCTCATCGGGGGCTATTTATTTATCCTAACATCAGGGGCTCTTCTAACTTACCTGAAAACCCATTTAGGTTTTATCATATAAATGTTCTTATAAATTGAAAATGAAAATATCCTAAGCTAGGCCTGGAGGTATAGTACAGTGTTAGAGCATTTGCCTAGCAGGTGCAAGTCCATGGGTTCCATCCCCAGCACTCCAGCACTGAAAAAAGAAAGGAGAGAGAGAAAGAGAGAGAGAGAGAGAGAGAGAGAGAGAGAGAGAGAGAGAGAGAGAGACAGAGAGACTGAGAGAGACAGAGAGGGAGAAGAAGGAGGAGGGGAGGACAGGAGAGGACAGGGGAGGAGAGGACAGGAGAGGAGAGGGGCAGAGTGAA